CGCCGCCAAAAAAAAAAAAAAAAAAAAAATCCAAAATCCACCAAGGAGAAGGAGGCACAGGAGAGGCCAGGAGCAAGCAGGTTCCAGCCACCTTCTGCTAGAGTCCTAGGGACCTCGCTTCCTTCTCACAGCACTGATGTGTGGCGCGAGGATGGATGGAGAACGTCACCAGGAGGCTCTCAGAGCTGTGGTGGCCAGGGTTTGCATGGGGTCTGTCTTGTAGCCGTACAGCACCCAAATGACAGGCCTCAAATCCTTAATCTTCAGCCCCTGTGCCACTGTCAAATGGACACAGTGATCCCTGGCAAATAGAAATGCATTTGCCATCAATGGCTGGTATGAACCATCTGGAGTGGCCCAAGACATACAAAGACACTGTCACTGGGCGTGAGGTCTGAAGGCTCAGGGTTGTTGCTGGCCAAGGCCCTGCCCTCACTTTGGCCTGCACAGGGTTTGAACAGCCCGAGCTGCTGTGTTACGACATTCTGCTTGGTGCGTCCTCGGTCTCTGTCGCCACCTCTTGCTCACTGGCCTGTCCACATCCATCTGCTCCACCCACCCTGCTCCATGACATCATTCGTGTCCAGGCCAAGATCCACCTCCGTGTTGCAAATCCAATAGTCAGTGCTGAGTGCTGGGCCTGCCCTGAGGGCGCCTGAGGCAACAGGTCTGGTGCAGGCCCCCACATGCTTGGTTTCTAGTAAGTGCCAGGCACTGTGGTGGCAGCTCTCCTGCCACAATTTGAGAACCATGGTTCTACTTCACCGTCTCTGTCTTGAGTCCCCTCTGGTTCCTCCTCATCCCCCGACCTCAATGCTGCACCACCCCAGGGCTCAGCCTCTGTCTCCTAACTCTTCTTAGATCTGTTTCCCAGAAATCTCACCTGGGCCCCGAGGCCTTAACTCATCTGATGACTTTCAAAACTATGACTCTTGCAGGTGTCATGGTGCACGCCTGCAAGCCCAGTACTCTAGGAGGCTGAGGCAGGAAGCTTGCAAGTTTGAGCCCCCAGCCTTGACAACTTAACAAGACCCTGTTTCAAAGTTTAAAAAAAAAAAATGCTTCAGCAACACATAACTAAAATTGGAACGATACAGAGGTTAATGTGGCCCCTGTACAAGGATGACATGCAGACTTTGTGAGGCGTTCTGTATTTTTCCCTGAGACCATAATGTTAAGTGAAAAAAATCAGACACACAAGCTTAAATATCACACGTTTAGCCAGGCATGGTGCCGCACGCCTGTAATCTTAGCACTCGGGAGGCTGAGGCAGGAGAATTGCCATGAGTTTGAGCTACACAATGAGACCCTGTCTCAAAAAACAAAAAAAGAAAAAAAAACTGCATGGATTCTCTTATATGAAAAAAAAAGTATAAATAGAGAGCAAAATAAAAGATAACAGGAAGCAGGGAGATAGATCATTCTTTCATGGGGAGAGGATCAAGAGACACAAGGAGGGAAAGGAAGGGAAGAGGATGAAAAATTAAGAGGCGGGCCTGGTGGCACGTGCCTGTAATCCCAGCACTCCGAGGCTGAGGAAGGAGGAGGATCGCTGTGAGTTCGAGGCCAACCTGGGCTACATAGTTCAGGGCCAGCCTGAACTACAAAGTGAGACCCTGTCTCAAACAAAAAGGAAAGAAAAAAGAATTAAGATGTGTTATGCGCATGTTCCGACTCCCCACAAGGAAGGCGAGCATTACGGACTGCAAACATGTTAAAACTGAAAAGAAAGGTAGAACATAAAATTAATTCAGTAAAAAGGGCTGGAGATGTAGCTGAGTGGGGTCCAATTCCCAGTACTGTCCCCCCACTCCCACCTTGGCCTTTCCCGGAGCTCCACATTTGCACCCAGGTTATTCAACACAGTCTCAAAGGTCACGTATCTAAAACTAAACTCTTGACGCCCTTTGACCCCTTCCCCAGGCCTCCTTTTCCCAACCATCAGGCCCCAGGAGCTCATGGACTCTCCTTTGTAGTCCTCCCTACACCGTTCTACATTTTCTCTCCAGCACATTGCTGCGAGGTGGGCCCTCCCCCGCCATTTGGTTTTTGAGACAGGGTCTCACTATGTGGTTCAAGCTGGCCTTGAACTCACTGTGTAGTCCAGCCCGGCCTCCAACTCGTGACAATCCTGCCTCAGCCTCCTTAAAGTTGGGACTACAGGTGTGCACCGCCATGCCCAGCTAGCAAGGTCTTCTCTTAACATCCATTCTCCACGCAATACCCAAAATGGTCATGTTGCACCCAGAACACTTCCTGGCACATTTGGAAGGAAATCCAGACCGCCATCCTCTGCGATTCCAGCCCTGCCCGCCGCTCAGATCCCAGCGGTCACGCTCTGCCCTTTCGTGGAAACGCTCAGGGACACGGCGGCCTTCTTCCTGGGCCAGATACCCTCAGCCTAGGATGTTCCTTACCCTGGCCCATCATTCAGGTCTCTCTTGTCAGGCAGCGATCACAGAAAGTTTGCTGAACACCTGGTCTTGAGGCTGCCTCACCACTCTTGCTGCGGGATTTTCCTGTAGAGAGATGGAACAAGGCGGCATTTTTCCAGAAAGCAGCTTTATTCTTTCTGGCACTGACGGCGGATTCGTATTCAAAGGCTGAGCGCAGAATGTGGCGCAGCTGCACCCTTTTACACAGTTTCTGGGTCTCCGTCCCCGCTCTACGGCACACACTAACATTTTACGTCTGCTTGGGTAAGGCTTACGTTACGGCGTTACATCAGAACTACGCATGCGTACACAGAGGCTGATCGTGCCGCGTTGTAGGAAGTTCCGCCCCATGGGCCGGGGATTTAGCTGAGGGCTTCCCTCGCTTGCCTTGCAAGCACAAGGACCTGAGTTCAATCCCCGGTACCCCGCTCCCGAAAAATAGTTCCACCCCACACGTGGGGAGGGGCCATACCACACTCTGCCCTAGGCCCTGTCTTCTTCCCGTACCCCAGCCCTCCCCACCCGGCCTGGGCACGAACCTGCACCTGCTCTACCATCCGTCTCATCCTCGCCCCAGCGTGCACCTCTCTTTGGACAGGTTTATTGGTTTACTTCCTTCATTGTGGGTCACCCAGAATGTCCCCTTGCATCACCAATTCTGTGACAGAGATGCTGTATTTGTCTTTCTTCACCACTATGTGTATCCAGTCTCTGGTATGGAGTAGATGCTTAACACATATTTGCTAAATACTAATAATTGACACAAACTGAGTGCTTGTTATGAGCTGGACATTTCCTACTCTGAATATCTGGCACATTTTGTTTGTTTTTTTGTTTTGAGACAGGGCCTTGCTCACGCTGTAGTTCACGCTGGCCTTGAACTCATGGCAATTCTCCTGCCTCAGTCTCCTGATGCTGGGATTACAGGCATCTACCACCAGGCCAGTCTTCAACCGGGCACATATTGGTTTACTTAGGGAAGTAATGAGGGAAGTGCTATCAGCAAACAGGCCCACCACATCTCAAGGCTGGAAAGTGGCAACCCTGGGATTTTAATCTAGTATAACTCCGGAACAAGTAAGCTGTGTTAGTCAGCTTCCTGTCACTATAATTAAATGCCTGACATAATCAATTTATAAAGAGAAGGGGTTAGCCAAGCTTAGTGGCACACACCTATAATTCTAGCACTCTGAGAGGCTGAGGCAGGAGGATCACAAGTTCGAGAGCCTGGGCAAAATAGAGAGAACCTGTCTCAAAATAAGAAATACAGAGTCAGTGGGGGTGTAGCTCGGTGTGAAAGCCTTCAATTCCAGTCTCAGTATTGAAGGGGCGGGGAGGAGAGACAGAGGGATTATTTTGACTCATGGTTTGGAGGTTCCAGTCTGTGGTCCATTAGCCTCATTGCAGGAACACATGGCAGAGAAAACTCACTTACCTCATGTCAAGGAAGCAAAGAGAAAGAGGCCAGGGTCCCATAGCCCCCTCCTAGACCATGGTACCGGTGACAAAAGCACCTCCCATCAGGCCCCAGCTACCAAAGCTTTCGCCACCTACAACAGTGCCAAACTGGGGACCAAGCCCTTAACACACGCCCCAGGGACATGTGACAGGGACTTTGCCATAAGTAGCCCAAAGCCAGCTCTGCCACGGGAAAGGATGCAAGCCGTGAGCTGAGCCACACTCCCCCTCTCTGGGACATCTGTACCAAGCATAAAGGGACCTCTGAGCATCTGCTCTTCTTTGGTCCTGTGGGAGACGCGGGATGTGAAGACAAGCAGGACAAGGTCCTTGCCCTTAAGGAACTTGCCAGAGGAGACAGAGTGAAGCCAGAGGAAACAGAGGGATGGGTGGTGACAGCAACACGTACCAGGTGAGATGGGAGCACGTGATGGGACCCCACTGTGTGCAAGCTTATGGACTCAGATAACCAAGAGGAAGAAAGAGCAAGAAGATTATGAACAGAGAGAACAGGTGAACAGAGGTGGGGAGATGGGAAAGAGACCAGCATGTCAGGGAGCCAGAAGGGTTGTTGCAGAGCGGATGGAACATTAAGGAGCCCACAGCCACACAGGGAACTTTAAATCCCACATCATGGCACATGGAAGTCACCAGGCGGGTGACAGGGAACTGTGGACAGAGGGGAGGGTGGTAGGAAGATCTGGGCTTAGAAGAACCACACTGACTAGGATGGAGGATGGATTAGAGTACAGCAGGCCTGCCTGGGGGCCCCATGAGGGGCTCTTAGGGTGACACAGAAGGATAATGCCGTTGTGCATATGGGGAGTAGCCAGGAGGAGCGGTATGGGGCGACAGTTAGGAGTCAGAATTGTCAGACTTTCCACTGTCTGGAGGGGAAGGGCGAAGGGCCACGCCCTGGTTTCTGGCAGAGACAGGTGGGCGGCAGTATTTGAGGTGTGGAATGTGAGGAGAGCAGGCCGGAGGGAGATGACAATTCAGTCTGGAGCACACTGAGTTTGAAGGGCTTGCAGGGCATCCTGGTGGTGATGTCCAGGAGGCACTTGGACATTTGAGTCTGGAGAGAGAACTACAGGAGCCATCGGAATTTAGAAAGACACTGACAGTGGAAGCCATGGGAGTAGATCCCCAAGGACCGTCCTCAAGGCAGCAATCCTCACCAAGACACAAACGGTGGGACTCCCACGATTCTAGTAAGTACCCTAGGGAATGTGGTCAAGGAAAACCCGAACTCTGAAGAGGAGATTCCTTATGGTAGCAAGAAATTCGCAATCATAGCGAGAGGAAAAGAAGGTTCAGTTAGACACAGAGAGCAAAGGAGAGAGAGAGAGAGAGAGACCAAGAAGGAGGCCAAAAATGAAGAGAGGAAACGGGAGAGCGAGGTGCCCCGATATCAGGATTCAGAGTGCACAGGGGGCTTGTGAGAAATCACATTCCTGTCCCTCACCATTCTGAGGCGATGGGGCCCTGGAACCTGCACAGTAAAGCACACTCCAGATGCTGCCTCTGGGGTAGAGAACTTGGTAAGGTAGGTGTGGTCAGCAGGCTCCTAGCAGAGGAGATGGATCCCTTAATAAGGACTGAAATGGCGAACCTGCAACAGAGATAGCAGAAGGAAGGCCAGTGAGCAAAATCGTTCATCTGAATGTTAAAACCTTGAACCCCGCTACTTTTTGCGCTTGGAACCTGGCCCCCTGAGCACGACTACTACCTCAGCGTCACCGACCAGTTGTTCTCAAGTTGTCTGGATCTGCAAAAAACCCCGCTGCCTGATGCTGATTTTGTCCTGTTCACAGATGAGAGCAACTTCATGGAAAATGGGGTACGCTGTGCTGGCTATGCAGAGATGACTCAAGATGAAGTGGTCCAAGCGGGACCCCTCCCCACTGGATGGTCAGCTCAGCGAGCAGAGCTGCGGGCACTCATACAGGTTCTCCGATGGCAAAAGGTAAAAAGATAAATGTTTATACAGACTCCCATTTGCTACTTTGTATATCTACAGTACAGCCTATAAAAAGTGTGGTCTTCTCACAGCAGAGGGCAAAATAATACAGTTGTTGGAGGCAATGTGAAAACCTGATAAAGTAACAGTAACCCATTGCTCTAGACACCAAAAAGGAAAAGATGCAATAACTAAAAGGCCATGCCAAGGCAGTCACAAAAGCCAAAGAGGCAACAGAAACTTAGATGATCATACCCGCCCCTTGCAAAGGATATAAATATTTGTTGATATGTGTTTGTACTTAACTCTGGACGGCCTGAGGCCTTCCCTACAAAAAAAATGGAGAAGGCTTCAGAGGTATGCAAGGTTTTATTAAAGGAGATAATTCGAAGGTAGCTGCCTCTCTCCATGGGCAGAGACAGTGGGCCAACATTTGTAGCAGAGGTTGTATGAGATCGAGCTAACCTGTATCTTAGAGCTCCAACAAGGTTAAAAAAATAAATTGTACTATTAAAAATCTATTAACTAAATATTGTCAGACAATGCACTCAAGGCCCTGCTCTCTACACTGGGAGCTGGTGAGTCTACGCCTGGCTGAATAATGAGGACTACAATCAAGATATTATGGACTCTTATTGTGTCAAATTGCTATGAGCTATTTTGTTTTTAAATTAAGAGTCTATAAGCCTAAAGATGATAGGTTTGATACAAAATATGTGACCTTTAAAACTGTTAAATAAAAACCAGAGAGACATCCCCTCACACTTCTTTTGATTCCTGTCCAAAAGAATATTATGAAAACTCTGGTACCATTATGACTGTGGGGGATATACGCAAAAAAGATATTGTTCAGATAAAACTCAAATATGGTTAAACAGTTCTGCTGTAACCCAAAAATGTTGTCAGTTGTGGTAACTGTAAACAGGGACAATGTAAAATGTATATAGCCTTTCAAAATGTATATAGCTTGGCCTTGTAAAACAAGCTGGCTACAAGGGATAGTTTTTTCATATTTATATTGGGTATCAGTCAACTGCTAGGCATGGGCCTCAGAAGTTAAAAAGATAGATTCTACGGATTAAAAAGGTTTAAAAAGACCCCCTTCAGAAACAGAAAAAACTCCTGCACTGCAGGAAATACAGAATAGCTTAAAAGGGCATCCAAAAGTACACAAAAATAGGTATAGATATGAGGGATTTAATGTGATGATACTCATTCACTGCTGCTATTGACAAACCAGGAATTGGCCTCTGACTGCTGGATTTGTGCACCACTCACTGTGATGACTTAGCAGGCAATTGGCATCATGAGTGACCTAACCTTAGAGCCAATAAAACTTACCAGGTACCCCTTACTCAGATACCCATTAGATATAATTGGTAATGAGACTTGCTTTCTTGGTATTCAGAAGTCACACAATGTTTTAGCCATTTGCACTCTGCCCCAAATGGAACTTTCTTTCTCTATGGAGATGGTGTTTTTAAGATGATTTCAAAGCATCCTGCTGGTTTAGGTGCTTTAGAGATCCTAATTCCCAACTTGTCTGTTTCTGGGAGAGGAATGCTGCTACTATGCAAACAAATCTGAAATAGTTAAAGAAGCACTAGATAAACTAAGAGATCCTATTAAACTGCTAGGGAGAGCTGGGGATTTAGCTCAGCGGTTCAGTGGCCTGCCTTGCAAGCACAAGGACCGGAGTTCAATCCCCAGTACCAAAAAAAAAAAACCCAAAAAACCTGCTAGGGAAAGAGTTGGGTACCAAGGACTCATCGTTTAATTTTGGTCTTAACTTGTCAAGATGGAAAGCCTGGGTCAGCACCGTCACAGGACCAATTATTGTTATACTGCTCGTCCTCATATTTGGTCCCTGAATGGTAAAATAGATATGAAAACTCATACATCAGAGAGTAACCCCTGCCCAGCATTATCAAGATGTTAATTAATGAAAAATAATAAAAATTAGGGGTAAAGAGTTACCCCCCCAAACAAAGGGAGGAATGATAGAGAGCACATTAATAGCAAAAAATCCTATGAAATGTCACAATGTAAAATAACTTCTGCTGTTGGCTCTGTTTAGTTCAAAATCAACAGGCAATGGAGTCATCTAGATTCCCTAAAAAGTTTTGTAAATAAAAAGAACCATTGTTAGCTTTGCTGACCACACACGCCCCCTTCCCCTGGGCTAGCATAGATAACTGAATGGATTTTAAAGGTAACCTTCCCTACCAAAGAAGTGCTCCATCCGGGTTGAAATTCAACTGCCTGGCCACCACTTTGAATATCAGCCATGTGAACAGTGAAAATGCAATGTAACCACCTGAATGAGATCAAGGCTGTAAAACCCTGTAAAAGAAAGAGTTGTAGGCCAGTACTGGGTCGGATCAGGGCCCTGCCATTGGGTGTAATAGACCCCTGTCAATGGATAGACTTTGGTTATTTAAAAAAGACTGAAATGATGGGGTAGGGGCGTCGCTCAGTGGAAAAGCGTTTTGCCTAACATGCATGCAATAAAAAAGACCAAAAGGGTCCATTGAATTTCACTCCTCGGGAGGTCACCAGTAACCAGGAAAGAGGGAGTTTGGGGTGGTGTGGGAGCTGAAGCCATAATGCAGTGGGCTGCAAAGTAAAAGGGAAGCAAGCAAAAGAAGATAGCAAGTGTGGACCCCTGCTGGGAGAAGTTTGGGTGAGAGGCGGAAGTGAGAGTGTCATCCCCCTCAAAGGCCACCCTCATCTTCTGGAGAAAGTTGGCAAAGGGGATTAAGAAAATCTGGAGGCCCACAGAATTTGCCAGGGAGGCAAGCTGAGAATCAGCAAGGGCCTAACACACTTCTTGCTGCCAAGTCTCAAAATGAAAACCTACTGTGCCTGCCTCCTGCCTATTCCAAATCCTGCCCGCTGTCACCACTAACAGAGTGATTTTTCCATACGACAAAGCTGCCTATTACTGCCCTTCCAGAAACCCTCCCAGCAGCTACTCTCCCTCATTCTCGCCTCACACAGGCAAGCACCAAGTCCCTGAACCTGACTTTCACAACCCTTCAGACCACTCCCTTACTTCCTTCTGCCATCACAAGCACCCAGCCAGCGCTGAGCTCCCCGTAAATGCAGCAATGGGGTTTCACCCTGTCTTCGTTACTTTTCTCATTGCTGAGACAAAATACTTGACGCCTGAAGTTAAAGGACCAAAGGTTTATTTGGCTCACAGTTTGTAGAGGTTTCAGTCCATAATCAGCTGGCTCCAAGGCAGGGTGGCTTGGCAGGCAAACATTGCAAAGGAGAAACAGTCCATGGGGGTGCAGAAGGTAGCTGCAAAGCAAGCAAGAGATAAAACAAGCCTCTTTCTATCCCTTAGTTGTATCCAGACTACTAGGATTAGGGCGGTGCCAAACCAATCAGTAGACTGATTTAGTAATCACCCACCCTCAATCCTAACGTTGTACCATGAATCAATTACACACACTAGATTCAGTCACCTCTGAAGAAGCCCCACCTATGACTGAATGAGGCTTTGGGGATGCATCTAGACAAAAGCCATAATACACCCCAAGTAAATATAAAGGTTTTCATCATGGAGTATCCCACTGGCCCTCTGATCCAACCAATGGAAGCTCCTAGCTCTTTTTCCCCTCTTCTCCAGCTGTACCAATACCTTTAGGTAATTGTTCTCCCAAGAGGAATCAAAGGCAGGCCTAGACAACAGTATCTTTAAATTAGATGGCATAGGTGTCTCCTAGCGATTAGGTGACCTAGGGGGATATGGAGTAGTGGAAAGAGCACTGGGTTCCTTCTCCAGGGACATTATTTTGATTTTTCCTTTATTTGCTTAATCTCTCTGAGCTTTAGTTCAGATAGGACTGTGTATACTACTGAAGAGTACCGGGCTGGAGATTTAGCTCAGTGACACCACGCCTGCCTTGTAAGTGCGAGGTCCTGAGTTTGATCCCCTACACGGAAAAAACAAAACAAAAAAGCCTGTCGTGGTGACAATCAAGCGAGCAATTAATTGAATTGTAAAGCTCTACGTGTGTTAGGTTTTTGAGGTTCTAATAAAGTAGCAGCTCAGCATCACGAAACCAACAAACAGCATTTGTTATTTAAAATGACGAAAACACTCCAAGGCAATATTACTTTTCGAAGTTTGTTTCTCTCAAAAAAGAACTGGGCCGGGGATTTAGATCAGTAGTGGTTGTGCTCGCTTCGGCAGCACATATAGATCAGTAGTGGTGCCGCCTGCCTCGTAAACAAGAGGATCCGAGTTCGATCCTCGGTACCAAAAAAAAAAAAAGAAGAATTTAAATCTGTTCCCGGCTCCTCGGGCATACGTAAGACAACTATAAGTGAAATCCCGCCTCCCTAGCATCTAAGCCACGCCCCTTTCGGTGCAAACCGCTACGTCGTAGGGCCTTTGGAAAATGATTGACATCTTTATTCACCAATAAAAAGTAAAATTCTTGTCAACGTCCGGTGAGGGGCAGGACTTCCTTGCTGGTTGCTAAGACACTCTTGTTTGCTCCTTGACAACCCTGGCGGGGGTGCGCTGGTTGCGGCCCTGGCTCTGGCCCCCGCGGGAGCAGGTGAGGCCCCGGGGCGCGGCGGGCAGCCAGGAGGGAAGGGGAGGTCTGGAGGGAGGGCGGGAGGCAATGCGGGGCGGACAAGGCCTCGCCCACCGCCGAGGCCCCACCTCAGTCTCCAGCTAGCTGTTCCCGTCCTAGGACCTCCCCCCACCAACCCTCCTTGAGGACCTGAGAGCTCAGTCGTGACAGATTCGCCGTTGCCGATTCTCTCTGCAGGCCGCTCCTCCTCTCCCCCACTCCAGGCAAGGCCCTGTCCAAGTTTGCGCTCCGCACCTTCCCAGATCCGACACCCCCCAGCACCCCACACCCCACCTTAGCATA